ACTGATATGCTAAGAAAGGAAAGAAAATGGAATCTCATAAAATGTCAAATTAAAGCTAGAAAAGACAGAAAATGAGCAGAAGACAAAGAAACAAAGAACAAGTTTATGAAATAGAAACTAGCAACAAATATGGTAGGTATTAATTCAATTATATCAATAATTAATTTGAATGTCAATGGTTTAAACGTACCAACTGAAAAACAGACATTGTCAGAGCAGATCAAAAAACAAGACACAACTATATGTTCTCTACAGAAACCTGCTTGAAATATAAAGACATATATGGATTAAAAGTAAATGGATGGAGAAAATATACCATACTAAAACTAATTTAAAGAAAATGGAAATAGCTACATCAATTTCAGACAGAGGAAATTTACAAAGCAAGAAAAATTATAAGGGAAAAAATGTGTAACATAATGATAAAGGGGTGAACTCTCCAAGAAGAGGTAATAATCTTTAACACATATGCATTTAATAACAGAGGATCACAAGGCAAAAACTGACAGAACTACAAGGAGAAGTAGATAAATTCACCAGTATAGTTGGAGACTTAAACACCCTTCTATTAGAAATGTACAGATCCAGCAGGCAGAACATCAGTAAGGACATAGTTGAACTCAACAATATCATCAGTCACCTGGACATAATTGAAATCTATGGATTACTTTAACAACGGAATATATGTTCTTTTCAAGCTCATGTGGAATATTCTAGGCCATAAAACACACATTACCAAATTTAAAAGAACAGAAATTATACAATATTCACTCTCGGATCACAATGAAATTAAACTACAGATAAATAGCAGAAAGATAACTGGAGAATCTCAAAATATATGGAGAATAAACAACACATTTCTGTATAACACATCATTCATAGAAGAAATAACAAGAAAAATTTTTAAATGTTTTGAACTAAGTTGAAAATGAAAACAAAAACACAACTTATCAAAATTGATGGGATGCAGCAAAAGAAATGCTTAGTGGGAAATGTATTTATTTCATATTTTCTTTTTTTTAATTTTCAAATTTTATTTTAGATTCAGGGAGCACATGCACATGTTTATTAGCTGAGTATATTGTGTAATGCTGAGATTTGGAGTACAAATAATCCCATTATCCCAGTACTGCGCATAGTACCTAATCGTTTTTCAACCCTTGACCCTCTCCCTTCCTACCCTTCTACTAGTTCCTCATTTCTGTTGCTTTCTGTTTGTCTATGAGTGGCCAATGTTTAGCTCCCACTTATAATTAATGGACTCCAGCTGCATCCATGTTGCTGCAAAGGACATAATTTCATTTTTTATGACTACATAGTATTCCAGGGTGTATGTGTACCACATTTTCTTTATCTGGTTCACCATTGATGGGTATATAGGTTGATTCCATGTTTCCACTATTGTTAATAGTGCTGTGATGAACATGCAAGTTCATGTGTCTTTTTGGTAGAATGATTTGTTTTCTTTTGGATATATAACCAGTAATGGAATTGCAGGGTTCTTCTATTTTAAGTTATTTGGGTCATCTTCAAACTGCTTTCCACAGTGGCTGAAGTAATTTACATTCCTAGCAACATTGTATAAGTGTTCCCTTTTCTCAGCAGCCTTGCCAGTATCTGTTGTCTTTTGACTTTTTAGTAATAGCCATTCTGACTGGTGTGAGATGGTATTTCACTGTGGTTTTTATTTTCATTTCTCTGATGATTAGTGATGTTGAGCATTTTTGCATGTTTGTTGGCTGCTTATATGTCTTCTTTTGAGAAGGGCTTGTTCATGCCTTCTGCCCATTTCTAAATGAGGTTATTCGTTTTTTGCATCTTTGATTATTTAAGTTCCTTATAGATTCTGGATATTACACCTCTGTTGGATGCATAGTTTGCAAATATTTTCTCCTATCCTGCAGGTTGTCTGTTTATTGATGGTTTCTTTTGCTGTGCAGAAGCTGTTTAATTTAATTTGGTCCCACTTGTCAATTTTTGCTTGTTTGTTTGTTTGCAATTGCTTTTGAGGACTTAGTCATAAGTCGTTTTGCAAGGCCAATGTCCAGAATGGTGTTTCTTAGGTTTTTTCTATAATTCTTATAACTTGAGGTCTTACATTTAAATCTCTAATCTATCTTGAGTTAATTTTTGTGTATGGTAAAAGGTAGGGGCCTACTTTTATTCTTCTTCATATGGCTAGCCAGTTATCCCAGCACCATTTATTGAATCAGGAGTTCTGTCTTCGTTGCTTATTTTTGTCAACTTTGTTGAAAACTAGATGGCTTTGGATGTGTAGCTTTATTTCTGGGCTCTCTAGCCTGTTCCACTGGTCTATGTATCTGTTTTTGTACCAGTACTATGCTGTTTTGGTTACTGCAACCTTACAGTACAGTTTAAAGTCAAGTAATGTGATACATCTGGCTTTGCTCTTTTTGCTTAGGATTGCTTTGGCTATTTGGGCTGTTTTTTGGCTCCATATCAGTTTTGGAACTTTTTTCTAGTTCTGTGAAAAATAACAGTATTTTGATAGAAATAATGTTGAATCTGTAAAGTGTTTTGGGCAGTGTGGTCATTTTAACGATATTGGTTCCTCTAATTCATAAGCATTGAATGTTTTTCTATTTGTGTCATTTATGATTTCTTTTAGTAGTGTTTTTTAGTTCCCCTTGTAGAGCTCTTTTACCCCCTTGGTTAGATATGTTCCTAGCTATTTTATTTTTTTATATGGCTATTGTAAATGGGATTGAGTTCTTGATTTGGCTCTCAGCTTGAACATTATTAATGTATAAAAATGCTAATGATATTTATACATTGATTTTGTATCCTGGAACTTTACAGAAGTCATATTTTCAGGTCCAGGGGCCTTTTGGCAGAGTCTTCAGGGTTTTCTGTGTATAGAATTATAACATCTGTGAAGAGAGAAAGTTTGACTTTTTCTTTTCCTATTTTAATATGTTTTATTGTTTTATTTTTCCTGATTGCTCTGGATAGCACTTTCAGTCTATGTTGAATAGAGTCAGCATACTTGTCTTGTTCCAGTTCTCCAAGAGAATGCTTCCAGTTTTTGCCCATTCAGTATGACGTTCGCTGTAGGACTGTCTTAGACGGCTCTTATTATTTTGAGGTATGAAACTTCAGTGCCTAGTTTCTTGAGAGTTTTCATTCTGAGAGGATATTTTAGATCTTTCTTGCTTCCTAATACATGCATTCAATGTTTTAACTTTCCTTCTGACACTAGACCAATTAGAACAAATAGACACTCCACTCATCAACTACAGAATATACATTCTTCTCATCTGCCCATGCAACATGCCTCAAGAGACCACAAAGCAAGTCTCAATAAATTTTAAAATTGTCAACCACAAAGCAAGTCTCAATAAATTTTAAAAATGAAATTATACCAACCATAATTTCAGACCACAGTGGAAGAGAAATAGAAATCAATACCAAGAAGGTATCTCAAAACCACACTATTACATGGAAATTAAACACTTTGTTCCTAAATGACTTTGGAATAAATAACAAAATTATGGCAGAAATAAAAAAAAAATTCTTTGAGGCAAATGAAAACAGAGACACAACATATAAAAATCTAACCAAAATCCCAAGCAAGGATGCAGCAAGCGCCGTCTTAAGAGGAAAATTTATAACACTAAAAGCCTGCCTCAAAAAGTTAGAGAGATCTCAAATTAATGATCTGACATGACAACTAGAGGAACTGGAAATATAAGAAACTAGGAACTAGAAATACAAGAACAAACTAACTGCAAAGCTGGTAGAAGAAAAGAAATAACTAAAACTAGAGCAGAACTGACTAACATTAAGATCTAAAACTCTGTATAAAGAATCAGTGAAACCAAAAGTTTGTTGTTTGAAAGGATAAAGAAGATTGATAAACCACTCACTAGATTAACAAAGAAAAAAGACAGAATATCCAAATTAACAACAATCACAAATAAAGAAGGTGACATTAAAACCAATCCATTTATATTATCACCAAAAAAGGTATAAATATAATAAAATATGTAAAAGATCTATACGAGGAAAACCACAAAACTCTGAAAACAGAAACCAAAGAACTAAATAAATGGAGAAGCATTCTATGTTCATGAATAAAAGGACTCAATATTGTCCAGATGTCAGTTATTCCCAACTTGGTCTGTATATTCGATGCAATCCCAATCAAAATTCCATTAAGTTATTTTGTGGGTATTGAAAAACTGATTCTGAAGACATGGAAAGGTAAGAGACCCAGAATAATCAACACAATACTGAAGAAGAACAAAATTGGGAAACTAACTTGAAGACTTACTATAAAGCTGTAGTGATCTAGAGTGCATTATCAGTGAAGGAACAGGAAAATTGATCATTAGAACAAAACGGAGAGCACAGAAACAGATCTACATAAATAGAGTTAACTGATCTTTGACAAATGAGCAAAGGCAATACAATAGAAGAAAGATAGTCTTTTTAGCAAATGGTTCTGGAACAACTGGACATCCATATATATATATATATAATGAATCTAGATACCTACGCCTTTCACATAAATGAACTAAAAGTGGACCACAGACCTAAAAGTAAAATGTAAAACTAAAATACTCCTAAAAGGTAGCATAGGAGAAAACCTGCATAACCTTGGGAATGATAATGACTTTTTAGGTACAACACCAAAGGTATGAACCTTAAAGAAATAATTGATAAGCTGCACTTTATTGAAATTAAATACTTCTGCTATATGAAAGAAAATGTTAAGGAAATGAGAAGAGAAACCACAGAATAAATAAATATTTGCAAAAGACACATCTGATAAAGTACTCTTACCCAAAATATGCAAAGAACTATTAAAAAATCAACAAGAAAACAAACTACTCAATTAAAAAAGGGACTAAAGGTCTTTAACAGACACCTCACCAAATAATACGAACAGATGGTAAATAAGCATATGAAAAGATGCTCCACTTCATATGTTATCAGAGAAATACAAAGTAAAACAACAATGAGATCCCACGGCATACCTCTTAGAATGGCCAAAATCCAAAACATTGACGATTCCAAATGCTGGAGAGGATGTGGAGCGACAGGAACTCTCATTCATTGCTAATGGGAATGAAAAATAAGGCAGCCATGTTGGAAGGCATCTGGCATTTTCTTACACAACTAAACACACTCTTAACATATGATCTAGCAATTGTGCTCCTTGGTATTTACGCAAATGAGTTAAAAACGTATGTCCACACAAAAACCTGAACACAGATGTTTATAGCAGCTTTATTCATAATTGCCTGGAAGCAACCAAGTTATTCTAGGTAAGTGAATAAATAAACTGTGGCACATCCAGACAATGGAACATTATAGAGCACTAATAGGAATTGAGCTATCAAGCCATGAAAAAACATGGAGAAACGTTAAATGCATATGACTAAGTGAAAGAAGCCAATCTAAAAAGGCCACATATGCTATGATTCCAACTATATAACATTCTGGAAAAGGGAGAACTATTAAAGCAGCAAAAAGGTCACTGGTTGCCAGGGGAAAAAGAGGGAGAGAGGACAAACAGGTGCAGCACAGAGGATTTTTAGGGCAGTGAAACTACTCTATATGATACTATAATGGTGGATACACATCACACACGTATCCAAATCCATAGAACTTACAACACCAAGCGTGAACCCTAATGTGAACTATGGACTCTGGGTGATGATGATGTGTTAGTGTAGGTTCATCAGTTGTAACCAATGTACCTCTCTGGTGGGGGATGTTAATAATGGGGGAGGCAATGTATTAGTAGGGGAAGGGGGCACATGGGAAATTCCTATACCCAATTGTGAGTGAAGCTAAAGCTGCTCTTAAAAAATTAAGTCTTAAAAAAAAGAAAGCATCAGACATGAAACATGATCACTGCCATCTGTATATTGCTTCAAGGTTCACAAAGCGATTTTCCAGACTTTGGCTACTCTGTGAAGTTCATACTATTTTCACTTAAGAGATGAGGAGTCTGTGGTTCAGAGAGGTTAAGTGACTCCGCTAAGGTCAGACAGGCAGCACGTGGAGAAGCTGGCCCCAGCCTTCAGACCTTGTGTCTGCTCCTTTGAACGTCACAGAGACAGTAAGAGAAAGGTGACAGGACAAGAGAACCACCAGGAAGGGTTTCCTGGGACCTGAGGAGTCTGATAGGAGTGAGGGATAATGGGAGCAATGAAGAGATCCGTTTGGCAGGAGTGAGGATTGTTTTTTTTTTTTTTGCAAAGGAGTAGTAAGAAATCAGGTTGAATCAGCAAGTAGAGGTTTTGAATGCCAGGCTGAGGAGATTAGATTTCTTTGGAGATCCCCTGAAGGCTTTTGCACAGAGGCGTGACCCAGGCAAACACCCCCTTGTTTGGAATGCAGGATAGGTTGTGGAAGGAGTGAAGTTAGGAGACAGGGCCTGCAGTCCAGAGGCTGCTGTGTTCTGGGAGAAAAACAGTTAGTTGTGACATAGGGGTGTCAGAGAAGGTGAGGCAGGAGTAGACACTGGGCATTGCTGGAAGAGGCCCCAGTGGGACTTGTTGAGTGTGTCTGTGTGGTTGGGTGAATCCCCGAGGATACTAAGGCCACAGCCATGTGCTTGGATTGCTATGACATTTGGTGCCAGATTGTGGGGGAGGATGGTGTGTTATCCAGGCAGAGAGTGAGGTGTTGAGAGGACGCTCAGCTGGGGAAGCCAAGTGGAGGACTGGAAAGTTGAGCCTACAACTTGGAAGGGAGGATCTCTGGGTTAACTAGCTTCTGGTATGAATTAATCACCAATTAACTGATCATTCCTAAGCAGAATACTGCCTCTGTGAATTTCCAGTCAAACTCTGCAACCCCAGTTATTGAATTCGGGCCTGTCATTCCTGAGGTCAGCCCCACCCTTGACTATCATTAACGACAATATTAGCTCATCCTTCCTTCTCTACACTCTCTACTCCTCATTCTTGGCCAATTCTGGGTAGAAACATAAAGGGAAACTCACCTCTCAGTTTCCATCTGACTTACCTCCAAAGCTTCCCTAAGATTCCCTTATACCCCAGGGAAAATGACATGGCCCAGTCTCTTCCTGCTCTCACCAACTCTTTTGCTCATGTGTTTTTCTCTCCTGGTGTTCCCGCTGGAATGGCTGCCCTTCTCCTCGACCTATCTCAGCTTTCCCCAGTGGGCCGCCAAAAATTCTTGTAGGTTGAAAACCACAAGCCTATGCAAACCCTGCCCATTTTCCACAGCCCATTTGTATTTTATCTCTAGGAGCTCTCCCCTGATTATACTTCAGCCAGTTCCCCTGACAAAGCCAGCAAGGTGTTGACTCGGTGTTACATGGATTGTTTGGATTGCCTATGGCATTTGCCCAACAAGCTAGAACTTGGTCCGCTTTTGCCTGTTTTTGCTGCTCCCTGTTTGTTTCATGCAGGTAGGCTCTGCTAGTCAGCATAGGCTGGGCTTTGCAGAAGCAACAACTCCACTCTGAATGCAAGTTTCTTTCTCGTTCAAGCTCTGTGGACACTGCACTGTGGGCAGGCAGAAGGCTCTGCTCCTTAGGCTGGCTTAGGGATCCACGAAGCTGGCAATGTGACATCTTGCAGCTTCACCATCTGGAGCAACGCTGTCTGATAGGACTTTCAGCAATGATGGAGATGTTCTGTATCTGCGCCGTGTGCTATGGTAGATACTAGCCACGTGTGGCTATGGAGAAATTGAAATATGGCTAGTATGATAAAGGAATGGAATTTTACATTTTATTTCATTTGAATTCATTTAAACTGCCACATGTAGCTGGTTGCTACCATATTGTAAAGTGCAGATCTGTAATATGAGGTCCCTCGTACACTTCCCAGGTGTCAGTAGAGGACAGAGTGAGGAGAATTCTTGCTTGCTTTCCTAGCCAAGAGATAATCATTGGTCGGAACTTGTCACCAGGCCCCACCTAACTGCAAGGGGTTGGAAAGTGTAAGGGGGCACATGAGCATTCAAGGAACAAAAACTGCTTTGCCACAGAACTCTCCCAAATGCAGCCAAATCTTCCTGAGGCTAAGATGTGTGAGGTTCTAGGGAAGAGTGGGGGCAGATTGATATGCCTGGCTAGAGAGAAGGGCAGGGATGGACTGAGAGCAGAGGTCTTGGAGCTTAGCAGTACAGAGACAGGCCCAGAGAGGGCAAGGAGCACAGTCACTACCACACAGCCAGGCTGGGCCTGGACTCCTCAGGTCCTGGCTCAAAGAAGTGAGATGGGGAAGATATGATGCTCTGCCTGCCCCTAGGCAACAAGAACTCTGGCTGGAAACATCTAGCCTTTCATTCTGAGTCCCTAGGAAGGGCAGAGCAAAAACTGCCAGGCCTGTTCTTGGAGCCCTTGGAAGGGAAGAGGCCCAAAGGCTTTCTGTTTTCAAATGGCCTTGGCCTGTCCCCCTTAAGTGAGTCACCAGCTGCTGAGGGCAAGAACCCAGCATGAGGTCATCTGGGTCACACTTCCTGCCTGACCCTAGCCCTGGGGCCAAGTTCATGGAGTTTCCCAAGGCCAATGAGAAGGGGGTATGCCCCAAGCTGTTGTAGAACTAGAAGTTGCCAAGGGAGCAGAGGTGAGTGGGTTACTGCTGGGGTCAGGGCAAGAGCTGTGGAATGGGTATCAGGGGCAACCTGGCAAGGAGAAGAAACTGAGGCCCAGAGACAGGCCTCTCAGGGAGGCACTAGTCGAACTGTGAGGAGCCCTCTCTATCCCCAGCATGAAGGGGTCCCGGAGGCAGCACTGCCCCAGTTTCAGCCTCACAGTCTCCCAGCTGGTGCCTGGTCCAGCTGTCTTTATTTTACTTGGAGATCTACACTACTCAGGCTCTGTCCACTTCTGATTTAAATCCTACCTGATGTTGGAACCCACTTCTTTTCCTCTCATCTCCCCAGGACAGAGGACAGAGGACAGAGCTCCAGATGGCAGAGAAAGACCAGTGTGAGCAAAGAAGGTGTTTTATCTGATCCTGGAGCCTGAGGAGGGAGCTGCTGCATTCCCCAAATCAGGTCAACACAAATCTGCATTTTCAACAAAGCTGAAATGGAAGAAATTCTTAACTTTACAAAGTTTTTTTCATTTTAGAGAAGGCTTTACCATAGGATTCCATTGAAGCATGGAGTTACCTAGTATTTCATAAAAAATTTGATTAATGAAACTTCTAATTTCATCAGCAAAATGTTACTAACAACTATCATCCTGCAAAGCATCAAATGTTTTTAAAATTTGGCACCCAGTCAAAGTCAGGTCTGTCTATATGTTCCTCAAGCTTCAGGAAACCCCCAAGTCAATTTGGACTATGTTGGTCTCCAATCTGCTCTGACCAGAAGTTAACCCCCATTTTACCCAGGGAAGACTGACTCTGGAATAAAGAATTTGTGCCGGCCGGGCACGGTGGCTCAAGCCTGTAATCTCAGCACTTTGGGAGGCCGAGGCGGGTGGATCATGAGGTCAACAGATTGAGACCATTCCTGGTCAACATGGTGAAACCCCGTCTCTACTAAAAATACAAAAAATTAGCTGGGCATGGTGGCACGTGCCTGTAATCCCAGCTACTCAGGAGGCTGAGGCAGGAGAATTGCCTGAACCCAGAAGGCGGAGGCTGCGGTGAGCCGAGTTCGCGCCATTGCACTCCAGCCTGGGTAACAAGAGCAAAACTCTGTCGCAAAAAAAATAAATAAATAAAAGAATTTGTGCCAAGGTCTGAGAAATTGTTAGTTCTCTCTACTGCGCAGGGGAGGAAGCATTTGGAACCTGGTCAGTTGCAGAGCTTCTTTGATCCTGAATCCTCCCACCCTACCTGCCGTGTGTCCTGTGGGTTTGGGGCTCCCTAGCTAGGGGGCTGGCTCCGCTGTGAAAGAGGCCCATGTGTACTCCAGAAGCAAATGTTCTTTTCCTATTCAGGAAGGGACCCCTTACCACAGCCTTAAGTGATCTGCACTTTGCTGATATCAATGGAAGATGACATTTTTCAAAGGTTTCCAAATCCAGGTGTTCTTCTATGGTGTGACCATGCCACACCCCCATCAGGACAGGGGCCAAACTCCCCTTCCCTTGTTTCTTGGTGGGCATCAGTTGCCTT